GCCCATTGTGCCGCGGCGGGGCAGGCTCGGCGCTCCCCGCCGTTTCCGTGGCAACCGAGGGCACGGAGCGTCCCGCCCGGGGCTGCGGCTCGCACTGCAGGCCGGGCTCCCAGCGCGGGGTACTCACCCGGCCGAGGTGGCGGCGGCGGGACGCAGGGCGGCTGGCTCGGGGCTCCAGCGCTGCGTGTGTGCGCTCCAGTCCCCGCCCGCCGGCACAATGGATTGCGCTGCCGCTGCTGTGTGGGCGGGAGGAGCTTTCCCCGCTCCCTGCCTCCTCCCAGCCAGCAGCAGCAGCAGCAGCAGCGCCCCTCGGCTGTAGTGCGCAGCAGCAGGTCCCCCCAGCGCGGGATGCACCTGCAGCAAGAGGAAGGCGGCCGCTGGTCCCCCCACCGCCTTCCTGCGGCAGCGGGTCGAAGGGGGAGGGCAGCAGGGCCCCTCAGGCGCGCTCCCTGTGGCTCAGTAAAAGGGTCCCTCCACGCTCCCCTCACGAGGAAAGGGCGCCCTCGTCTTCCTTCCCCGGGATGAACCAGCGCGACAGGTGGGCTCGTCTCGCCAAAGCCCCTCGAGCTGACAGGTTTCCGCCGCGAAGCCTTGCCTTCACAACATGGGGTTGGGTCTCCTTGCTTTGCCTCTGTGGCAAGTGGGGGTGTTCGCTTTGTGTTGTGCCAGGGTTGACAGGAGTGCTAGGGATGGTGCAAGGTGGTTTGGATAGAGAGGAGCCTGCGGCAGGCAGGGGGTTGGACTAGACCAGCCGTTCTCAACCTTTTGCACCTTACATCCCACCTACGTCATCAAAAAATCCTGGTCCCACGGGCCCATGAGTGGGCAGGGAGTCCCCCGGAGGCCATTTAAAGGGTGGGGGGAGGTCCCCCAACAGCGGACAAAAGTGAAACCAGAAGTCCTGCCGTGGCACTTCAGTTTCACCGCTGTGATCCAAGTCCCACCTAGAGGACCTTTGGTGGGACGTGTCCCACCAGTTGAGAAACCCTGGACTAGAGGACCTCTGAAGGTCCCTTCCAGCCTGACTTCTCTATGATTCTGATCCTTTGACCTTGCCCTAGGCGACTTAGGGCCATATTGGCAAAGGGTAGGTGCCTCAGCTCCCCCCTGGCCCAGGAGAAGTCCCGAGTCTCCCACCTGCTACCCCTCTGCCCACAGGCACAGATCACAAGACTGGAGAGAAGCTGGGACCTCCAGAGGTCATCCTTTCCAACCCCCTCCCTGAGGGGCTGGATCATCCCTATCCAACCACCCTATAGAAATCCATCTCAACTCTTTGTAAAGCAGCCATCCACCCTAACCATGGGCGACTGGCAGGGCACCAGATCACCAACGGGAGGGGAGGCTGACCGGAGGGGGGTGGGGTTCCCCAGCAGCTGTTCACTGAGGCCAAAATCACCAGTGGCAAAATTGGAACCGCACTTTCGCCAGCACTTCTGGTTTTGCGACTGGCATTTCCAGGGGGTGCACATGCACCCACGTGCACCGCCTACCCTACACATCGCCAGTGACCCTAACACAACAAGATGTAACACCCAAACCTGTCACAGGGAAAGCAGGGGGACCGTGCATCAGCCAATGTCCTGCTTCTGTAAAAGGTTGTTAATACACACTCAGGAGATGCCAAGTGGAAGGCTATGCTCCTACTCTAGAGGAAGGTAAAACCCCCACAGTCTATACCAATCTGTCCATGGGGGAAAAATTTATTCCTGACCCCAAATATGATGATCAGTCTAATTCTGAGAAGAGAATAATACCATCTAGACAGGAACCTGCTTAGAACAACAGTAGAATAACTCTGAAAGTGCTCCAGTGCCTCCTTCCCAGGTTTGGCACCTAGGGACTGGGTGCATGGGGCCTGCTTCTCAGTAGCAGCCTTGAGAGTGCCAAGGATGCAGTGTAGACACAACCAAAGGGATGTAGGTGTGATAGTGCTGAATGTCCCTATGCTGACAGGTTCCCAAGTCAGGAAGTAGGATTCACAAACCCAGCTTAGGTACAAAGTACCATGTACACAAAAAAGGAAAAATGAGGTGCCAGGGAAGTGCCCTGACATTGATCTACAGTCAGGCTTTCTCTTGCTTGCTTTTACTCTGGCTGCATGAATCTTGTGTTCTTTACTGAATAGCTTTAACCCATAGATTCCATCAAGGCCTATCCTATAGTCTGTTTATAAGAAGGGACGGATGTGGGTTTTAATCCCCTCAGGTTCAAAAGTCTACCACTTCCTGGGCTAGTGCTCCGACCCATAGTACAATTGGTCACACCACTGCATTTTGCAAGCTTTTTTTTAACTCAAAGCTGTCAATATGGCTTAGACATGATTTCAGAAAGTCTACTGGATCAGATCTCCTGCAAGGACCTGGGAGAAGTTTGGGTCCTCCCAAACAGCATATGCAGCAGAGCCAAATTGCAATTGCACCCATGTGCAGTAGCTGAATCAGAAGCACCTAGGTAACTTGACTAGTGAAAATTTAGATGCCTATCACTTACATTGTCAGGTAGGGTTTTTTCTGACCACACTTCCAAATTCTACAAAGTTACTTTTTGTATCAGGCCATTAACCTGTGACCCTTAGCCACGTTGCCCATCTCCAGCTAGGGATGAGGCTAAAATCTTTACTTCATAAGGTATTATCAAGAAAAATGCACTAAAGATTTTAATGTGCTCAGATACAGTGATAATAGGAGCTATATAAATACCTGAAATAGATTATTAGTAAATCTGTATGTAATGTAGTAACTTTGTTTAGCAGCTTAGTATCATAAATAAGACATGATTCTAGCCCTCAAGAGCTGACAGGACACAGCTTGAGGAGAAGAAGGTTGAGGGGATTATAATGATGGGGAAGGGGGAACTGGATGATCAGGTTTATTTGAAGATGTATTTGCTTTAAAGATGAATTTAAGACAAGAAAGGAGAGAAAGTTTTCTAGGCCAGTGCCATTATCCTGCAATGATGTCCCTGCAGGCAGGTTCTACTGAAGGGTTGGGACCTGGGGGACTATATTTAGGATTTTATAGCATCGGTGTGCTTTATAGGTATTAAGGGCTTTGTTGTAGCTTTTTTAAACTACACTCAAGAGCCAAGAGAGACACCTGTGTGAAAAGAATATATTGGTACGTAGTGGGAGCACTGCAACCTTTAAAAAGCTGGATTTCACAAGGTATACTATTTTGGTGACTGTTGCCAACCCACTAAAGGAATATTGTTCTGTTTGATGTTTTTTTCTTAAAACTCATCACCTTGAATAATGCAAGCATATCAGAATCTCAGCTTTCATTTTTTAAGAATGTTTTTATACTTTATGGTTTTTGTAGGAAAAGCTTAAAAAAACATAATGCAAGTAGATCCTGAAGTGCCAATAACCAGAAAACATTTGTTGAATTAATTTTAACAGTTACTAAATCAGATTATGTGGCTGATTATGGCTTGACTCATGATTTTTGAAAACTTCAGTTTGGCAAGGCTTGTGACACATCACAACATTTTCTGTGGTATCCACAACATTTTTGGGGATGATCCAGTTAGTGAAAGAGCCCACAGTAACTAATTACATTATTTTGTAGAGTCAGTCCCTACTTTTCAGGTCTAGGCAAGCTACCTTAATAGAAATACTAGATCCCCTTCAGGTCCTTGAACATAAAACTAAATCTAATTGTTCTAGATATTAGACAACTGCACAGTAGGTTAATAATAATAATGCATGTTGTGGTAGAGCAAGCTCTAAGGAAAGGGGCAGAGCCTTCCACAACAATAGGAGAATGCTGCCAGGGGGCAGGAGGGGTAGTATAGGACCATAAAAACTTGAGGTTGAATTAACAATAGATCAGTGATTCTCAACCAGAGTGTCATGGCACCCTGGGATACCGTGAGATCTTTTCAAGTGTGCTGCAGGGTACCATAAAATATTAGCACTGTTAGCACAGGGGTGCTTCGAATCTAAAAAGGTTGAGAACCACTGCAATAGAGGAAGGCATGAGGAGAGGGTTATTTTGGAGAGATGTCATATGGCTGTTTTGTTTTTGGTTGCATAAAAGAAGCAGTAATGGAACTAGAGGTAGGCAAGCAGGGTACCATCCTTGATTGCCAACTAAGGAGAGGTGCCAGGGTGCCAACCTTGCATAGTCCATGACCTGGAAGTAAAAGCAGCCCTATGGCATGGACACCGTGTTGCTCCTGGAAGAGCCACAGCTGGGGCAGGCGGTCCATGTTCTGGCACTTTTCCTGCCCCCTGCTTCCAGCCCCTCCCCCTGGCCTCTTGCATGGTTTGCCCAAGACCCCGGGCCTGCTTGTTATGCCTATGAAAAGAAGTAAGAGTAAGAACACTTAAATAGTCTGGAGAATCCCACTTGTACTTTGTGGCCTCATTTACTGCATAACCAAGTACTAAATGACTGTGCAGTAACCGGCATTTCTGCACAGTAGCATTCCCGCACAATTTTTTTCAGATGCTACTGCTCAGTAGTGTCACATCACAGTTAGTGCCCACCAACGCTACTGCACAGTAGCATCTCATGTAGATGCGAACTGCATGTTGCTAGGCCTTTGCCACATTACACTCCGTTATAAGAACTGCTCTCTGTATATTAGTTACACAAATGTTCTTTTGGTGTTCAAAGAATCATCTTAAACGCTTAAAGAAAATGAAATGACAACTTTTAAAAAGAGCAGAACATGTCCATGCAAACTATACACCAAAGGCCTTAAAAAGAGAGAAAATGAATAGTGCAGCTGCCAGCCGTATCTAGACTCTCCGCACTGATGCTCTCATTTAGAGGATTGGCCTGACCGACACTGCTAAAAAAAGAATCCCCTTATTGATTGCCAGTATGTGCTCACTAAAAGCCAGTCAATAAATAAAAACTTATTTGAAGAGTGAAATTGTCCTATGACTATTCAAAAGAGGGAGATAAACAGCTGATAGCTCACTAAGTTCACAAAGAGGAATAGATTTATTTATTTCCCACCTCCCCATGAGAACAAAAATTAATTGCAAATTAAGACAATTATTTAAGTGAATGTTTCTGCAGGACAGATACCAATTTTCCTACACATAGGAACTTTTTATGCCTATGTGCTCATTAAGCTTGTATGTCACAAATAAAAATATATTCCATGAGATATTTTTAAAAGCGTGACTCGACTTAGGGTCTAGATTTTGTATGATTTCTTTATTATATTGTAACACATGGCATCATTCTCTTCTGCTAAAATATGGCCATCTTTTATCCTCAGGAAAGAGCTGG